TTTACGGCCTCCTACGTGACTTCGGCGTCACTCGGGGTAACGGGTCCGAGTCGTGTGGTCTAGTGTCGGTGTAGGACGCGAAACGTTAATACCCCGTAGAGACGACTACCGTAGTGAAACTTGCGTTCGCCGAAACCACTACCAAAGTAAAATCCGAGTACGCAGGACCCACTATTGTCACGCAAAAATGACTACCGTGAACTCAATGTTTGCGATGGGCTATAAGTACGTAGCACGATCTCTTTTTCGGCAACGCTTCCAGGGTCCTCTTGGGAGATTACCACTTCCCTGAAACCTTAACCTGACCTGTCAGATAGGTGCAGGAATCGAAGCATTAAAGGACAGGCGTTGAGTACTGTTGCACCAGCTCAGTGGCTTTATTAAAGAAGACGTGACTGTGGAGAGATGGCCGACTGTAGCTACGAGTACAAAGATTGCGACATCCCTCCACCATGGGGTGGTACCCCTAGTCCATGAAGAACATGACTATGTGAAGCCCGCGGCAGTAACTTGAAGTACTGGCATGGAAGGTGTGGAGAAGATGCGGGTGCGAAGAAGACATTCGAGGATAAAGAGCACCCAGTCAAAAATTGTCGTTGGTTTATCGTCGGGCCATAGCTGGGAAGTTGGCTCATTCTATTCGATGAGTCGACGGGGCTAAGAAGGTTCGAAACCGGCAGAGATGGAGTCAAAGTGGTCGTTGTAGCGAGTTTCCCGGATTCTACTGCAACGAGTCCCCTGTCCCTTTCACACAGTTCCCTATGGTTTCTCGCATAGATCTAAGAGGAATACGATTGAATTTCTTGAAACATTTCCCTGAAGATGTAACCTAGCCCTGGAATAAACCAGGTAATTCCAGCCCGGGGGTCCGTGGGAGGATCCTATATTCCACGATAGGCTACACGACATCTTTTATCCACCTAAAATGGCTACAAATGTATACATATTTATAGGACGTGTAAGGCGTGTCTGACTTCCTATGGGAGGGCAGATACCCTTGTATTCCTATGCGACTATGGATGCCTTAGCATCTCAAAGGAGGATGCGTGCGATATTCTCAGCTGTTGGCGATAGGAGTGTACCTGTGTAAGGTATTGCTCTTTCAACTCTCCTAGAATGATGCATTATTATCTCTGAAATATACCTAATGCTGTAGATGCAAGGTTTCTCTCCTATATCTTTCGCGATTGTGAAAATTCGGCTTAAAGTTGAGGCATGTGCGGTTTCTCAACGATGAACCAAAGTTGGCTCGATGAAGGGCCGACAGGACATGCCCGACCGTAAGCCGACTTCAACCATATGCCAGTGATGGCCCAACTAAGGCTTACATACGCGTTGACGAAAAGCCATCGATGGCCCGATGAAACATTTTTAACTGGGCAGGGTGGCATACATCGTGAAAAAAGGAAGGCCCCGATGCCGACGCATGCAACTAAGCCCTCCAGATCGAAAGTGGGAAGAAACAAAATATGAAGGTATCAGCCTCCATTGTGATAGCACAGGAAAACTGCAACGACCTCGTTGATGTCACAAAAGTAAAATATGCGAAAATACATTTGTTCATAGAAGAGTCATTTTGGCGTTAGTGTAGTAAGATTTGCGTACGCTGATGTAATTACCATAGTAGAATGGGCGTACGCAAAGACCACTATGGTAGTAAAGACAGCTACGCAATATTGATCACCGTAGTCACAATTGCATACGCGAAAAACACTATCGTAGTCGGTTTTGACAGGAGTCCGATTCACGTACTACACCGGGAGAATACGGTGGGTGATCTGGTGTTTCCGCATCATCTTCAGCAACATCGTCTTCGCATTTCCAGCCACAAAACGCGAAGAATCGTCGCGGAAATGAGACATGGAAGAGGGAGGCTGAAGAAACGAAGACTGAGCCACTGGGGGTGGGAAACACGGGAATCCCCCCTCACCCTCCCCCCCCCTTGTAATCTTAGTACATGCGTCCATTAAGCCAATAAATAGAACGGGAGACGGCAAGTACACTTCCTGGTTGAAACCGTACCCTCACTGGATAGTGGAGAACGGAGAAAGCACTACTTCCAGAGGATCCGCTTCATCAGACGACCCAAAAACCACCGCTGTAAAAGGTGTCGCTACTTGCAATCGATGGAAGCGCTCCTGTCCCCAATGATGGGCTTGCTGCATTTAGAAGTCATCTTGATAGGTATCATGGCAGCTCTTCTCCATTCCTTCTAATGAGATTTTCCCAATTTCCCTTCCCAGTTTTCTTGTCGATGTGAACACGATGGAAGGCAGCCATGGTGCAGGAAGCCTAATTGTTCCTGGGATAGTTTCATAGGCCTGATGACGCCTGACCAGAACTGTTTTCTTTCATGGGTGCGGGTCCCCAATTTCCTGAGTGGACCCCAACTTCCAGGCCTGCCTATGCTGGGATTACTGGGCCTACGAAGGGCATAATCCTACGCCGACCTTAAATGACCGGCCTATTTTACAGCAGGCCTAAGGCACAGAGTCAATCGAACTTAAAGGCTAACATTGGCTAAAGGGAACTAAGGGCGAACACGAGAAATATGGTAGAGGTGGTAGCGGGTCATGGGAGGGCATGCTTCCGTATTCTGTAGAACTGGTTCGATGATCCCACGGTGCCTGCTCCATCATCCCGCCGATGCAGTCCACAGGCCCGCCTAAAACTCTATGGATCGTTTTGCATGTGAATCGTCGAGATTCTGCTGCGACCGATTTCCGATCGCCATTTGCTGCTATTTGCCTAAAGCTCTAAACGTTAAACTGAAGTTTGGGATTCATATGCAAGATAGGAAGATGCCTAGAAACGACTCAATGGGGTATACCTCTCCTCTGAGACCGATTACGCTTTATGTGCCTTGGCAGCTTTCCATCGTGAAAGCACTTAAAGGAGAGCGAGAGATGAAAAATTGGAAAATCCCAAAGGAGTGAAAGAAGAGCCGCCATGATAACCACCAGTTTGGATTCCAATTGTAGCACGCATATTTGTATTGTAGCAATGGGCATGTCATTTCCAGTTCCATTTTTTAGCTCATTGCGTGAGTTCCTCTCACTTTCCCCTCTTCCCCAAAATGACAGAACTTTTGCTGACAAGCAATACAACCCTGGAACTTGCGAGCAACCTTTCGACGCTCGTTGAGAAGGAAGCATTCTTCGTTTCCTACCAGCGCAGACTACTTCCCTTCCCCCCCCCCCCCCCCCATCTTTAGTCTCAGCTAAATTTGTTCTAACCACGTGCACGTAGGAACGCGACGCCACCCAATCTGGCAGTTGCCCTCGTGCCAACTGGGTTAGCGGAATGAGTACACGGCGGCGTGAAGAGGTGGAGAAATCCCATGAAAATCCCATGTGTTCCCACTTCTTCCCACCGCCAGCCAGTGCAGCTGCCACTACATCGGAAACGAGTGAAACCACATCGTTAATGAATGAGGGAAATGAACTCGGTGAGAGTAAGCACCCTCGACGTTCACCAAAAGCGGTCCAGTCGTAGGACAACCATCGAGAAACTCCGTCTGTCCTTATCAATTTCCTCTTTCTTCTCAATATTCACCAGATTAAAATTTTAAATAATGATTTTTGCCAAATCGGGTTGGGACATGACGAATTTCATTCGACGATGAAGACCCTGGTGTATGCGGGAAGCAGAAGCCATCACGTCTCTGTCTGTCCGCACTCGAATAGGTGAATTAGGTACTATTAGATACCTTTTCATTCCCCGGAGTCATTTCCTTCATGCTCCTCTGCACGAAAGAATCCACGACCGTGACCGTGTCGGAAAGGGAACCGCATGAACCTTGGTCAGTCCATACCAGTCCTCAAGGTCGTGGCCTTCATCCGTACTTATCTTCCATTGCGAATCACGAAATTCTGTCGGATCGCACTCGAAATCTTGAGAGCTTTCGGCCCAAGTCTCAACCCGACCGTAGGAAAGAATATGCACGATTCCTAAGACAATAAAGGTCATTTTCTTCTTTTCTTCGAAATATTCACAGGATGGAGACCGACAGCAGTATACGTGATCAGGCATTATCAGATCGTTTCCATTTCTCAATTTCGCATGCATTTCGTCTGCATGGAATTTGCCACATCGAAACTGAATTATGGCGACTGGTGAAACCCAACAGAGGAGAAAGAGGCAAAGTACCCTTTAAAGTCTAAAATACTGACGGTATAGGGAGGTTTTAAGAGTGCTCCATAGAGCGTCAAGAGCATTTATGTTGCTCTAGATTCAAATGCTTCTATAGCAGAGGTGCTCAATTAGGATGTGGAATGGTCCACTAACCCGGAGCCCTTGGAGGTCCGGAAGTAAAATTCTAAAGCGAAAGCAGACAATCACAATTAGACGAAGACGAGTCCTGGATACAGCAGTGGAATTAACTAAGAAATTAGTTGATCGGAGCGAGGGGAGTTGGAGCTCCCCAATCTCCCCCCCGCATAAGCGTAGCGTGGATGGAAAAAGTATGTGGGGGGGGGGGGCACGTGCCCCCCTTGCCCCCCCCCCGACACTACAACGCTGCCCCCTGGATGCTTCCCTGCTATTATCGCCACGAGGACGCAGGCAGAGGCAGGGAGCCCAGGATAATAATAAAAAAGACCAGGGAAAGTTAGCGCTCCAGAGGATGGAAGCGCCCAGTCAGAAGGTTGAGCACTCCTACTCTATAGAAATCATTTCAGCTGATAATTATTCCATGTTCACTTTTCTATGTTCATTTTTTTAATGAAATAATTACAATCTCACCCAATTCACAAATAAACTACTAATTCCAATATGTTTGCATAACATCAGCCGTATTCAGGAAACTAACTGATACCCAAGGCAACTAATTAGATAACTAATAGGTTGCCACTGTTACAATTGAGTGTACAATGTCTGGGTGGATCCCCTGCTTCAGGATAATTGCCTCGTATGAATTAATAAGTGAAACAGATGTTAAATAATTAAAACCAGTTTTGCAAGGGATGAGCGAAAGGGTTTGATCGAGCCTGCCCGAAGACTCTTTACACTCCACGCATACCAAAATTTATTTAAAGTCAATGCCAAAAGAAAAAAATACTTCCAGCAATTAAGTATCGTCACGTAGAACCTTCGTTGCTGTCCGTCACTTTCATTCACCCTTCAATGCATTGCTAGAGATCTTTGGTTTCTTGCTCGGAGTTGGGGCGAACCCATCATTGTCCTGAGTCTCCGTCGACCCGTAGCGGAATTCGTAGAGCATTTGATGAACCCGAAGTTTGAAGAGATCCTTGCGTTGCTCCCCGAGCTGCTTCATGCCGGGTAAGAGAGCCAAGAGAAACATTTCGTCTTCGTCTTTCGTCGTTTCGGATTCTTTCATCACATGGTTCATGAACTTTCCCGTCCTGGCATTGTAGGAATCGACGGAGGTGACCGGCGGGGAGAACCTGTCCCCCGAACCCGTTCCGTCCTGGCCGGAATCGTCCACATCGTTGTACGAGATTCCCACCTCCAGAGGTTGATCTTCCATTTCTGAGCCCAAGTCATCCTGTGACGAGCCCAGGTGCCCCGATCCCCTGTCGATTCAATAGCACATGAATACGTTCTTGTTTAACACCGAAATAAAGCACAGCCATTTATAGTCATTTATACAGTAATTTAAAAAAATTGAGTTCCTATATATATTTCGGAATTCCAGGTAAAAATTTCGCGTTATTAATGAAGAGTAAATGCGAAAAAGACGATCGGATGCACTGACGAATGATGCCGGAGATGGGGGATGAGGAACTGCATCTGGTCGTGCATGTGCCATTTCGAGGGGACGGGAGTCCTCAAGGCTTTGTTCATCTCCTTCACGAACGTGTCTCTCAACCCCTTCCATTTCTTCTTGCATTGCTCCACTGAAAATCGAAAAGAAATAAATTAGTCAGATGATGGTTCTGCAGACGAAAGGGGCATGAGATTCGCATTCAAACCTACCGCGATTTATTCAAAGCGCTTTCATGTAAACTGCAGGATCTAAATCACTGTCAGTGTCGGATCTGAGAAAATGTAAGACATTTTGCTGAATTTTGAAGTCTGGAAAACAGACTAAATTCAGGAGGGATTTGTTGAGCATGCTAGCTAAATTTTGTAAAACCGTCAACCCAGAAAAGGCACTCTACTGAGTGCCTTTTCAGAGAAAATGCAGTCCACGTTAATTCCTCAATAGGCGAGAAGTTAGACTGCAGTCAATGCAGAGGACGATAACGCGCTATTATTTTCACATTCCTTGCTTCTTCTGAGTTCACGCCATCCCTATGTCGCAAATTCTAGGGTGGATTTTTGAACAGAGAACTATCCGATAATGCAGCTTTATTTCTGAGAAAATGCATTATAAATCCGGTAAATAAAGCAGCATTATCGGATAGTACTCTGTTCATAAATCCACCCCTAGTCTTTGTCTGACCTTTCCCGTGCCTTCTTTTCCGAGTCGTTCGAGGTCCTGGTTGCAGTTCACAGGGAAAACTGGTCTCAGCTGCTTCTGCTGTTAAAGATGTAATTCTAATGACCTTGATACATGCGAGAAGTTATTATATCCAAGGTCTTGTGAGTAATGAGGGAGCGAGTACGTACGAAAAGCAGGTTGATTCAAGCAAGGACTTGCCTCCACTTGCAAGCATCTGCCGATCGAAGTTGCAACGAGCGAAATCACGCGTCAGATAATAGGTGGCAGTATGATAGGGACAATGATAATTGTTCCCTCGCAACCAGCTGTTGTTTCAAGCACTGCCCCGTCGAGTGGAACATCCTCCTGCGAGACCATTGGAATGGCACCGCAATTTTTTCAAATCAAGCTACCAAGACACTCATAAGCGGATTCTGAGACCTGTCAAGCTTCTGGACTCTATCCTTAAATGTTTCGTGTCTAATTTCTCCTTTCAGAATGGTCGAAATGAAATGAAAAATGCCAGAAAATGTTCGCATCTAAAATGTCACTGAGCTCAACAGAGTGCGAATTCCTCTCGGTGAGTCAGCAAAAGGAAGGAACTGATGCTAAGATAATTACTCTGCAATTTTTAAGCTTTCTAATCTTGATTAGGTATTTCAGATGCATGAATCCCGTGATTAGAGTCTGCCGGCTATGACCGATCTGATCTGTAAGGTAAAACCATTTAAGTTTGGACACTATAACGTACATTGTAATAAAAACCAAGCATTCGTGAGTTCTCCTTCAGAAACAGATGTTCGCTGCTAGGAGGAGCTGTTTCTGAGGGTGACCTCGCGAATGCTCAATTTTTAAACAATTTATTTTATAATGTCCGAACTTAAATGGTTTTACCCAATTGGGATGCTCGCGGATGGCTGACTTCGGTATATCAATCGCAGGGAAGCGCTAGGTGGTTGTCAGAATCTCTGCATGTGGGATTGTCACTCGCACCCTGCTATTCCTGTCCTTGGCCTATTTCACCCAATAGTTTTTGAAAGGTTACGCCAGTCCTTCTCCAGAAGCTAATCACGACCTTGCCGGAACTGGGCTCTCGCTCTCATCTGATTAACCCCTTCCACTCGGTTTTTTTTTTCGCAACAACCGATGGCGAGCCCAGTTCAACAAACGAATGGAAAGGGTTAAAGGCTCCCAAGACCGCTTCAAATTCCATCTAAACTTCCTTTCCATCGTCTCTTCGCAATTATAAACCCCACCATGAAAGTAACTCCGTCAAGACAGTTCTGACTTTGGGTTCGGAAAACATATTACAGCAAAATTCAAACATCAGAACCTGCTTATCTTGTCATGAAGGAAGTCACACAGTATGATTCGTAGGGAGAGGGTGGTATGGCATGGAAGCCCATGCCAACTTCCTTGCACGCCTTCGAAAATCTTAGACCTCGGGGGCTGCAACCGTTTTAGGGGCTTGTTTGAATGTTTAAGTCAATACACACAAATCAAGCCTCCTGGCCAGTCCTTGAAAACATGGACTTTGAAGAACTTCTTTTGTAAGGGTAACTTGGGGTGATATGGCCCTTCTTAATAAATCCCCTAAAAGGCTGAATAATTAGTTTGGGCGAATTTTAAAACTAGCTTTATCGAAGAGTATATGCAATTGTCGAGAAGTTATGAACTGTTCATTAATCTAATGCTCGCAGGAATTCGAGATAAATCCGTTTTGAAAGTCATATGCATGGGATTGTTCATCTCACAATCCTGAAACTAATGTGAGCCTTGAGCAACTTAAGCATATATTTTCTGACAGTAGCATGGAAACAAAAAATTTGTTCAAAGTTATTCTATGGTCCCTCCAGAGTGATTGTGCAAAGTGCCAGCTCCTTCACTTGCGGTTTGCATGCAGTGTTGTCAATTTGGTCAAGCAGGCCAATATGGAGAAATATGGCCATCTCGATTTGGGGTAATATGGACACATCCTTGAATTCATGGAAGTACTGCATTGACCTATCGGCAGTGTTAGATTCCTTTTATGTGGGACCTCAGGCAGCAAGAGATCATCCTATGTACGTCTTCTGGATATACACTGCGGACGTACGAAGATCCACTGGGCATCCACATAAAATATGCAGTTTATATCCTCATATCATCCTGGACATCAGCTGGATGTACTCCAGAAATTTTTGGCGGCACGAAATTTGAATGCAGGTAAATCTCCCTCGTACGAAAAAAAATTAAAATATCATCCTGTGATTTTAAAATATTTACGAATACAAACAATTACACAACAATTTCCCGCACTACAGGACCTCTTAGTTCACACTCGTAGTGCATGTTCACTTCGATCTCTAGGTGATCACTCCTCTTATACCCACAGTGTCTAAATACAGCCTCCCAATCACGTGCAATGTTACTCTTAACCAAAAGCGGTGCAATCCAGCTTTTCATAGCAGCAGGTAATGTTGTCGACTCCTTTTCTTGTTCTTAATGTACTTAATGGTGTTTTTTCAACTGCTTAGCCTCAATTGCATATCTCAAGCAAGCCTTAGCCGGCTTGTTTCAAGGAAACTCAGTATGTTCGAGTATATTTCGCACGTACCTTAAAAACCTTAATTTTTTTAGAAGTGGCCATATTACCCCATAATAAGGATAATATGACCTATTTGGACGGGATTCAAATGCGCAATATCCATGTAGTTTTTGGCATGAGCCTAGCTGGGATAAGGTAAAGAAGATATCAATCTATATTTTCCAAATATTGAAGTTAAATTCGACCTTGATGGGGCGTTGAGACCGGGTTTCACTTTTTAGGGCCATATTCCCCCATATTACCCTATAGGGTCTGGCACTTTCGTTTCATATGGTCAGTGACGTGTTTCGCGAGGGCAAGGAGGCAGTCCGCCCCTTAGCAGGACAGCTAGCTATTGGACTAGATTCTACATGGCCCCCCTCTGCTGAGCCTTCGTATCTCACTACCCGCGCGATCCCGAAAACAACAACAAAAAAAGGGTTCGGACCAATTACCCAGAGAATGGAGTAACAAGGGCGGACTCGGGTACAGGATTCAAGGGGCCCGTGATTTCCTCGCGTCCATGAGTTCCATCATCTGAGTGTGATGAGAACATGAGCAAATGAAGGTCTTGCAAAATTAAGTTCAATAGTTATACCTAGCGCCCTTTCTGAGATAGGTTTTTCTATTTTGAGAATAATAGTACGGGTGTTGGCACTTGCCCCTCCATTTAACGGCACATTTAAAATCATATCTGGTTCACGTAATACTAGCTATTCAACGAAGTCCATGAATACAACATTAGTTCTCCTAGCTCTTTTAGCATATGTAGCTGGGATTAGAGATATTTTGTTTTACGAAAATTGGCGACGATTCCAGGACAGATCAGAAGTGTGATTTCTCGATTCAGTACCCATCAAACAAAAAAAAAGCTTTGAATTTGGATGACTCTTCCTTGCTATTTCATGCACTATGATTGGTTTGGTGAAATCAATTGATAAAAGAAAAAGGATTCACAAACGGTTTCCCTTCTCTTTACCAAAGGTTGCCCGCGAAATAAGTGTATATCACCTATAATCAAGAACCACGTCCATGAATTAGGAGACAGGGAATGGGAACTGTTCCATATTGCATTTTCTGAAATCCAAAATATGAATTCCATCCAGGCCATAAAATGCAGTAATTTTAATTTCAAAGTTTGTCACTATGTTTATTGTAAAACAAAGATTGATATTAAATGTAAGCGCTCACTATGTAAGGGGAATGCACTTGCATCACAGGGTCAAAATGCAAAGGTTGAAATACATACCTATTGGGAAAAACGCAGCTAAGAAGTATGCATGACTTTTTAAGATTGCAATTCGTACATCAAAACCAATCTTCAATGGATCCTAGTTCAGTTGATTAGTGAGTGAACTAGAACATGTTTTTCCAACGCGCCCCCTTTCCGCTACCCCGCCCCCTTGGCTCATGAGCCAAAATACGCCACTGCATGCGGTGGAGAATGGAAAGGGTTTCCCCTCCGCTCCGCCAGCGCCCAAGCTCGGCCGCGTGACAGGCGGGCAGGAGCCAGACGCGGTAGAGACGCAGCAGGGGCGACGGCCGTGGCATGCCATGAGCCGTGAGGCTGAGAGAAAGCGAGCCGCGAGGGGGCCGATGAGAGACGCCACGCACGCGCACCCATTCCTGTCTGCCCGGCCCGACTCACCACTGACGCCTCGTAATGCCGTCCAGCCAGCCTGCCAGTAAATGCTGTCCCCTTCCTATTCCCTCATCGAGTCGCTCGCCGAGCGAATTGCCCATCGTCTCCACCCAGTTCTCACACCGGTTATTCCTAATGAATGCTCATCGGCCCTCTCGAACGAAGCAGAACGTTCTGCGACATCGAGTAGGCCGATGCAGTCGCGGGAAAGGGGAAGATACGCTTTCGCGGGGCTCCTCCCAATGCCAGCGATTGATCGGAAAGGAAGAAGAAAATAAGGGCTCACCAGGGCATCCCATGGATTCCCCCACACTCTGCCACGCATTCTCCTTCACGTCCCGGTCCCGGTAGCCGGCTAGACGAGGGTTGTAGAGGACTTCGTGAAGCTGGACGGCAGCGACGAGCGCTTCCACGTCCATGTCGCTTGGCTTCGCGCGAACGACTGACTGCGCCGGGCCCCTCCCAACACATTCCCCCCTCGCCCTCGCTTCGCTTGGCTTCGCTCAGCCGGTTATCGACCCTCGGTCTCGGCCCCACGTCATTTCATTCCGTTCCTCTTGTCGCTCGCCTTCGCGCCTCTGCAGCCCTTGGTCAACGCTGTCGCATTCGCAATAATCCTTTGTGTCATGAATCTACGAACTCCCACGAGGCAACCATTACAAAAATTTCCCGCGCAAAAATTGAATACATTTCTCCGCCTTCTCCAGGCGTGCCAGCCCCCTTCGAGCATGCATCAGATTTGTTCAGCTTGAATTGATTTCATTTCATAATGAGCGCCAATGGAAATCGGCTTAGCTGAGTTAAGCTCATTTTCGTAGACCATTATCATAAAATAAAATCAGATCAATGGACCTGGTATACTCTTCGTCTTTGTCCGAGATGTGCTTTTCTCGTACGCGTCCTCCAGCTATACTGTAGCATCGCGAACATTTTCGCGAGCGGAGACAGTTTAATATCCTTCCGTGTTTCTTAATTGGTGAAATTTTCAGCAAATCTCTTTATTCTGACGCCACTTTCATTTTCCCCCGTCTTTCACGTCTGTGGGAACGTTTGGTGTATCGCCTCATTGCTCCTCCATGTTGTCGCGTCGGCGCGGACGCCTTGCCCCCTCTAAAAGAACGTATTATGTTTAAGTGACCATGTGGACTGGCCCATCAGAGCATCAGCAGGCATGTACGCGAGAAGTTGGGGGGGGGGGGGGGGGGGAAAGTTACGCCAAAGCAACGTTCTTTTAGAGGGGGCAAGGCGTCCGCGCCGACGCGACAACATGGAGGAGCAATGAGGCGATACACCAAACGTTCCCACAGACGTGAAAGACGGGGGGAAAGTTACGTCAAAGCTACGCACGTGGGATGGCAATCAAGCATTCAGGGACATAGGGAGCGAGTGGGAGCTTGCAGCGTTGCTAAGCGTCCTATCGTTAGAGAAACCTGCACGGGTTATAAATTGAAACGACGCTGCAATCTACGACGTCTGTAAATAAGGGTAACTGCACCTACAACTGCACCAGTCTCAATATTACCATGAGGAATATGTCGAAAAACCACAGTACGAAGGTAAAAAGTTTCATGAAAGGGGAAACTTGGAGTTGAACATTTAGGCTTTATGAGGAGTGCACACCTCTCTAGTTTACTCAACATGGAGCTATCCACAAGCAGGAAGCGTCTGGGTTATTATTCAAGCGCCAAGTGCGTTTTCGCAAGTTGGACAGGTCTCGGCTTGTTCATCGCAAGGATATACAGGTCTGGTTTTATTTAGTGGAATCTTCTCCACACGATTTAGATAGGCGTGACACTTGTGCGTGACACTTTCTAACTTACGTTTATCTTGTCCTGGGACACTTACTGTTGGCCTAGGGTCATCCAGTTGATCTTTATAGGACTAGGTCTTGTAGCGCCCATCATACAGAGATTTGCAAATTAATTCTCAACACCTTTAACATAGGTTAATAAGCCTAATATCATTTTTTTATGGGGAGATTTACTCTCATTTGGGAAACAAGTATCATTGCCCAATATATATGGTGGTATTAATTTATTTGCAAGTCTCTGTACAGGCCATATCATAAGACTAGCTTAACATAGGGCAACCATAGTCTTGGCAGTCATGGTAGGCCTAGGGCAGGAATGTTGCATCTATGAAGGCCTGAGTTTCACTGCACCTTTAAACTTTGGCCCTTGCACCAAGGGGTCTATGAGCCTGTGATAGGTTCAAGGCTAAATGGGGGGATTAAGAAACTAAAGACCTTTGTGTGAGAGTGGTGTAGCGATACTCATTAGGCTATGGGTGGAAGAAGTAAACATCTGGCCTGGATTGGCCTAGTTTAATTTAGTATGCATTATTTTAGGATATAACATAAGAGTTGTAACTCAATTCTATCATATGCAATTTAAAAAAAAATTTGTAGCAGTGACAGTGATTGTAGCAGTCATAAGTGCCAAACCCATGGGGGCAAAGGGGAATGTACCCCCCCAACAATGTTATTGAGGGGGCAATGCCTCCAGGGAATGGTAGAAGTACAACAAAAGTATGGCACATGGAACATGAGGAAAAATGCTGTTTCACAAAATATATGAAAAAATATTATTTTCCTGTATGTTTTGAGCTTCAGCATAGAGGTCCCTGTCACTATGCAAGGGTATGGAGTGGAATGGCAAGGGCCCTTGGCCCTCTACATGCCCAGCAGCCCCCCCCTTCCATCTCATTGTGCAGCTACCATAATGCTGAGCTACCCCACAGGATCCTGGAACGATTCTGTCAATGTTATGTCAAGGGCATTAGAACCCTGTCCCCAATATTTTTTAGAAGTTGGTGCCTATAGACAGAGTTAAATAATGAAGCAGGAATAAAGAAAAACTTAATGCCTTGAATGCAAGGCAAAAGAAGTTCCTGTGAGGTGAAAGGTACTAAGTAGCTTTTTTTCCTTATGTAATTACTATGTTAGGCAGCCTGGGACAGAGTTGTGTATCTTTGGAGTAGCCTGGGATCTTCTTTGGCCTACCTCTGTATGTTACCCTGGACCTGTGCTATACAGGAATTAATGCACTATAGGCAGGTTTTATTATCAGCAATGAATGAGTACTTTATTTTGGACCAATGAAAAGTCTTGACCAAGACATGAAACAATAAATGTTAGCCTATGCTGTTGGGGGAGGGATATTTATTTTAATCTTATTTGCAAGGATTCCCATTAGACGTTTGAAAAGGATTTAAGTCTAGTGAAAAAAATCTAGATCAGAATTACATCTAATATGCATATAAGTAAAGATATTGTGTCATATCTAATCAAATGCACCTATATCTTTGAACAAGTTTTAATGTATGGATTGAATGGTTGAGGGATGGATTCCCATGTCATCTCTGGTGTCTTAGTTTCTTGGGGTGAACTTTAATGCCCCAATTTCTTATACAATGCAATGGCCTTCTCTTTATTTTGACCTTTATCTATCTGCTTGCCTGACCAAGCTTGAAAGTCCTACTTTACTGTCATCTTTCTCCATGTTGCATAGGCAAATTTCCAATAATTAGTGTAGATTATGTTTAATGGAGGTCCATTTTTGGATGGAGTTTTTTCACCTTGTTTTATATTGAGAATTTTTTTTATTCCTACATTTACCAAAGATTTTACTCGCATGATTTGTCACTGGAAGCTAGTTCATAAACCCACCCAGACCAATTTGGCCTAATGGTTATATCTGTATCTTCACTGGCCTAGGCCAAGCCTAGTCTATGATAAACCTAACTTAGCATAACTCCAGATATCTTGAAGGAGCAGACTCCATGAAAACTATTTCATATGTTTGTATTTTGTTTTCAGGTGACCTTCATATCTTAAAGGCTTCCTTTTCATTCTAACAATTTAGACATTTCTAGTCAGGAGCTTCACAGTAGTGTCCTTGCTTCACAATGGAATGCATTGGAAGCACGGTTATTCTTGATCTCATTTCTTGGTCTCGGTAATGTGTTTAAGTAAAATTGATCCCATGTTACGTTACTGTTGATTGTTGGATGTGACAGGCCATTTTGGCCTTTCACACTGTGCGTCATCATGTCTACTGCCTCATTCATGAAGGCCTGCTCTCAGGCTCCATCCACAGATGCCATTAAAACAATGCAAGTAAAAATAAAGAATCCACTTAGGCAAGTCTTTGATGCAGAAGATAAAGTTTATCAATTTCAGGAGGTGAGTCTGAACTATCAATCTGTCAAGAGCTTGTACTGGCATACAGTTCATGTGTAATGAGAAATTTCTGTCTTTCTTCAGGTTTATGAATTTTTCCGGAAACGCATAGTTGAAGTGTTGCAAAAGGAGGGACGCCTGTTGCCAAATTCAGTCAATATTGCAGGGGACCCTCTGGAAGAGGTTTTTGGCACATCTATTCTCCCATTTGGGATGATCCTGTAAGTTATTGAATATAAATTTTCCCTGTGAATCATGATTGATTGTGAGTATAGATGTTTGCTGCATTATCATGTGAGATGGAATGTGCTTTGTTCCTTGTCATAAGAAGGCTTGAAATGATTGCAGGTCATGCCTATATGCACAAGTGGAGCCAGTTGACCGTACAGACCTGAAAGGTAGTCGTAAGCTAGAATGTGGAGACCCTGATGAATCTGATGATTGTATGCCCACACCTAGGAAGCAGAGGAGAGCAGACTCTCCTGAGGAGTCTAATAGTGATGTGGAAAGTGTCTACAGTGTCCAGGGATATGTGACAGGTGAGACTCATCATTTAGGCCTGTACTATGTGAGAGTAATTCAGAGTTGGCATCATAGAGGGTTGACTGCCACTTGTTTCATGTATCCATTCACATATTAACCTGTTTTGTATAAATTATGGACATGTGAGGTGGAGGAAAATTTTTCCCAGAAAGAAAGTTTCAGGAAGAGCATGGTAGGGTTGAACATAAACTAAACAGCATACGTTTCCTGCCATTTTGCCTTTCAGCTTTCAAAATTCTTTCATGTCATAAATTGAAAGATTTGTTGTTAAAGTAAGATAAGGTAATAGAATATACAAATTTATAAAGAGAGGAAGATGCATCATGCTTGAAGGTCCTTAGTTGTCCAGTGTGGGAAACAATTATTGCCTTTTCTTCTTGGAGTGGATGTTCTTTTCATTGTTGCATAAAGGTTCTGGTGAATGGCCTCTTCAAGACCCTCAAAAAGATGGTTTGAATAGATGTTGAGTGTATTATGGCTATTTTGAAGAGAGATAGACCATATTTTTGTGTATACAACAACCAATGGTGCACAGTTGTTTTGCATGTGATATGTTGGAAAAAATTGAATCAATGGTCATAAAACCAGACTTTGATTTTGCACATAGCATACTGAACTTTGAGTTTATACTCCTAATATAGAATCCCAGTCAGATCTACTTTCAGAGGCTTTCAGAGGACTTTTGAAATAGAAATATTCTTTTATCTGTTTTCAACCAAAATCAGGAAAACATGCTTTCAAGTCAGGAACATGTAAATGTAGCTGCAAACTCTCTCCAAGCATGGTGACATTAAAATTTCATAAAATTGTACAAGAGGCTCAAGATCGTGAGAGGTGGTTTTAGGTAGACCAGCAACAAAGTCTACTGCATGGTTTGTTCAAAACTATTATGCTGGAGAGTACCACCCAAAGTCTCAGAGAGGATGGGTAATGGCCATCAATTTGACCTTCTCCATTGTGTCACATGCAAAGCAATACCATATCATTGTTACATTAGCAAATACCAATGCCTGTCTCCTCAAAATTTCCATATGATTCCAGCCTGTAATCAAACCATTTGTTTTGTTGGGAATGTTGAAGAGTGCTTCATCACAGCCTACTAGGTAGGAGATAGTGATGGAGTTTCACTTCCCTGGATGGAGACACAATAATTATTTCTCACACTTAAGGATGTAGAATTCAAGTTAGTAATATCTGCCACTCTTAGTAAATTTGTACTTTCAATTTGTGCCACACCTGTTTATATAAGTATTTTACATCCTTTTTGAAGATGTCATGTTTGTAAACCCTTTAGAAAAACTTGGAAGTTTGTTTGCTTGCCTTTGCTGGAAGCTAAAAATGTTTCCTTTATGTTTCCAGAATTATGTAAGAACTCAGACTACTACTCTTCTTCGTCTGAATATGAAACAATGGATGAGTTTGAGGTAAGAGTTCATCGAGAGGGAGATGTGGGAATTGAATATGAGGTCCAAAGTTCCTCTAATGACTCATATCTTCACGATGAGGATTCAGACTCCAGCTCTGGTGTCGAGGTTTGTAGTGTAGTCCAATGGAATGCCTTAAGAGAGATGTTTGGTATGGCATATTTAGCAAGATTGCAAACACCTACCACAGGAAGCAGTAGTCGTGGCAGCTGCTGCCCTCTGTGGAGATGATTGTTCGGAATTGGACTTCTTCGCGGATTCCTCGGATTTCTTGAGCACCGAGACCCTGGTCTCTTCTTCGGATGCAGAGATGCCCCCCGATGACTGGAAGTGTATGGACTGTGGCAGTTCCACTCAAAAGCCTTTCTTCCGATACTGCAGCAAATGCTGGCAGGTCTGTTGAAGTATGAGTGACTGAAGCATAGACTGATTCTCAGAGGATTTGTCCAATGCTTCAGAATTTCAGGGCATTCATGGATTGACCATGGAGATTAGAAAGTAAGTATTGCACTCACCATGTTCCCTAGGAGAGAAAAGAGATGTTGGGTCGTCCTCCAAGGCGGAAGAAGAAGCGGCGAAAGTCTGGTAGATCCAGGTTAAACGTACAGAGCCAGACAGAAAATGGGGACGATCCCAGCTCCTCTCAGATGAGTGCATCCTCCATTGCAGGCAGTTCCAGTGTAAGTTCTGTTAGTTCCAGCTTTCCAGGAATGTGCATCACATGTGAGAGCGCACCCAGGAATGCCAGCCTCGTTCATGGCAAGACTGGTCACCAGTGCATGTGTTACAAGTGCGCCAAGCGCCTCCTCCGTCGTCCACCACGGGATCGACGTTGCCCCGTTTGCAACCGCCACATCCAACAAGTCATACAAAATTTCTTCTAGGCCTAAGGTCCCTTCAGTTACAAAAATAAAAACTTGGTGGTTTTTCTTGGGATTCCAGAAAGAGGAAAGACGCCTTATTTTTGTTGAAACCAATACGGACGATATTCTTTCACGTAGACATTCATTTGCTGAAGCATTACCAGGATCTTATTTATCGGGAGATTATATGCAGGACCTAATTCTCCCCCTCCTTTTTTTATTTTTATTTTTTACATATTTGTCATCTGATGATCTCATAGCTTTTATTACTGTACTGCCAGGATTTTCATGCCTCTAAGCTCTTGAATCCCAGGTATGATTTCTTTGGAATGTGTTCTGTCACCTGACTGAAAAGCTTCTGGGTACAGTTTCATAGGCATAGTAGAAATAGTCATGGTTTATGTTCATGGATGGGGTTCAGCTTCTAAGAAGGCAGGGATGTGCGTGGTTTGAGTAAATGAAGGTAAAGGGGTGCTTCTCCTCTTGGGAGATAGCCACATGTGTTGTCCGACCCCTTTCGTCTGTTCAGTGCTTTAATTCATTTTGTGATTGTGTGATGATAAAAATCGGGATCGGCGGGCACTACATGTATTTGAAAAGCTCGTGCAAGTTGATGAGAGCTTTTTTTTCTTTCTCGCGGCAGACTAGAATGCTTTCCATTCTCTTTGCTTCCGGCATTTGCTTCCGTGCATGCAGTTCTGTATTCCGTGTTCTTTCAGGCGTGATCAGGCTGATGGCGGCTGAAGCGCCCCATCAGCAAGAGCGGAAGAAGAAGCCTCCAGGACAGGTGGTCCAGCCGCAGCCCGTCCCCAGCGTCAAGAGTTTCCTCGACAATGTCGCCGGGTTCATCCACGAGATGACGCCTTTGCAGGTCGCGCTGGACACCAAGGAGGTGGTGCGATGGGTTCGCTTCGAGTCGCTCGAGGATGCTCCGGGGACGTTATTGCTCATCTTGGGCTACAACACGGGCGTGCAGGTGTGGGCCGTGGGGAAGACGGGGGAAGCGGTGGAGGTGTTGTCGTGGAAACAGGGCTCCGTGCGACTCCTTCACATCCTTCCCGAACCTTCACAGAAGCGGGAGGACAGTTACGTGTCTCAAAGACCGCTCATGGTCCTCTGTGATAGCAGCACTGCCAACGGCCCTCCATATTCCACTCTCACGTTTCTGTCCCTCAAGACGGGAGATCAGGTGAAGACTATTCAGTGCAAGGCAGGGGTAACCGAGATCCTAGCGGATCACCGAGCCGTTGTCGTCACCTGTTTGTCCTACATCCTCGTCCTCGACGCCTCGTCTCTAGAACAGCTGTTCCAAATCGATAGTTGTTACCCGGCGCTGAATCCCGTTGCACTGGGCAGTCGTTGGCTGGTGTATCCGGACCGGAAGCTCATCATGCCTTTGCATTCCGATGGAGGCGTGTCCTCGGATGCCCAATCATACACGGCATCTGTCATCAGTGCAGCCAAGACTCTGACTAAAAGCCTGAAGGGCGTTTCGACCTCCGATCCGCAGTGGGAGGTGGGGGTTCTCACGGTCGTAGATCTGGCGAATGCCGAGAGAGGTGAATGGTGCCTTCACGCGGAGAGTCGCGGAATCGTTGCTCATTTCAGGGCGCATTCCCATCACCCCGTGGTAGCCATGAATTTTGACAACTCTGGGAATCTCCTCCTCACGGCCGACAAGCCCGGAAACGTGTTCAACGTGTTCCGCATCCACGCGCATCCACTGGGATCGTCCATGGCTGCCGTTCAGCACTTGTACTGTTTGCATCGAGGAGACACGACCGCCCGAGTTCAACAGATGACTTTTTCGAGCGACGCGAGATGGGTCGCCGTAAGCACCCTTCGCGGAACCACCCATCTCTTCCCCATCACGCCCTACGGTGGACCGGTCACCACACGGACCCATTTGTCTCGAGGCGTGGTGAATCGACTCAGCAGCTTCCATCGCAGTGCGGGATTGGATGAGGGCTTCAAGAACGGGTTCGTGTGCATCGGGGGTACCCGTGGTGACCCGACCGCACCCCGCTTCCCTCATCCGACCGTCGTCATGCCTTTGGCTCAATTGCGACACGGCGGATTCGCCGTTCCCCCTTCTACAGGTTCTCTTGTGAGATCCACCTCTTTCCCTTGCTTCGCCCGAGACATTCTATTCATGGCTTTTTGGTTCTCGATCGTGAAGAGGAGACGAACTGCGTGAGGATTGCAGCCAAGTTCACCAGCGGTCGACCGCAGCTGGTCCAGCCGTTCACGAGCAAAAAAGCCTCGGAGACCCTTTACGTCCTCACTTGCCATGGTCTCCTCTTCAGGTACTGCCTCGAACCGCAGGCATCGTCGTCCTCAGGTATTCCAACGATTCCCCTTCATCCAGAAGTATTGTATCGGTTCGAGAAGGGAATTTCTATCGAGGCTTTTCATTTCTTCATTCCATTTTAGATTTTACTAGAGTTATAGAACCCACTTATAGTTCCGTCCTGTCTGTGTGTATGACCACACTTGGTATGACCGACGATAGTTAAAAAATATTGACTGGATCACTGTGAATACTGGCATGCAGATAGGTATGGGAAAGGTGCGGACCAAGTTCATTAGTGACATAATTCGTACTAAAAGCAGAATTTTCCCCCGCGAATTTTGAAATTGCTCTCAGAGGGAAGGGCATGCGCAGCGCCCAGCTTAGGTTGGGGCATCGCGTCAACAGAGTAGCCAGATTACTTCCAGTCTTCGTAGTTGGCGTATCCATTGCTTGTGAACGCGTCATATTCTCATCATTCAGTATCCTTACTCTAGTTTCCACCTGTTATTGAAAGGAGGTTCACTACTGGGTGGAGCTGAACCTTTATATTTAATATAAAATGTCCTAAAATCGGTCTTGCTTGATTGATTGGACCATACCCTACCTTGTAATTAGTTGGCAAATTGCAAGACTTGTTCCATTCCTAAGTTTAACTGAGCATATTATGAATCAAGTTCTTATGTTGTTCAATACGTGTCATTGCATGAAAGGAAGCAAACATTTTAGAGGTGTATATGGAACAAAAAATCCTGAATTATCCTCTTTGGTCTTCTAGCAATTATGACTTTATTGTAAAATATAACCTTTGCAGCTTGTGTTTTCATGCAATGGCATGGATTCTGTCCCTGTGAATTTCTTCAGAGCCACTTGAGGTGCCAATACACTTTTATGACCAGGAAAGGCAATCATTAGATATCAGGTATCCTACAGTTAAAATAACTTTTTTCAAAATATTGACAACCTTAGCCAGAAAGAGATAATAAGTGCTCCACCCAGAAAATTATTGCTCATGTATGAAATGAACAGTAGGTGGAAGTGGGGAGCGAGTGTTGGAGGAATCCCCCCTGGAAGTGAATGTGAAGGCTGAGGTGCAGTGGAAGCTTCTTCCTCCATTGTCATCCCTAGAGCTCCATCCTCCATTGTATGCAGGGAATCCCCTGCTTCACATGGGAAATCCCCAGGGATTCCTTGGCACTTCTGCAAGACTGACATCTACTCAGACCACCCCTGGATCTCATCCTCCTGCTTGGCTCTCCATGGTCAGTTCTCCTCCCATTTCATATGTAGATGCATTGCAGATATCCTCTCTTGTGAGTGAATCCTCATTTGTAGCTTGATAGACCCAGGCTGGCTGTCTTTCTGTAAGCCAAGTTGGCCCACATCCACTAAAATGAAGCTGAACTCATGACATGAACATGAAAGGTTTTTATCAAGACTCAGATGTATTGGATGTCAAGTGTGATGCTTGTGTTGGATGAAGCACCTTCCCTGAATGCTAAAAAATTCAAAGACTACAAACTGGAGCTTCGTTGAAAGAAGTCAAGCATTTTTTGCCTAATATCTGCAAGATAAAATTCAGAAATCCTTCATTAAGTTTTAGCAGAGCAAACATTCCAATGCTTAGTGTCACAAATTAGGTCACTTAGGTATTTGTTCTTTTAAATGAAAAATCCAATGTTTTGCAGCTTGCTTCAGGATCAAACCTTGACTGGAGATGCTTGAATGCAGTGCCAGTTGGGTTTGATCCTGACAGGTATCTGCCCCCCAGAATGTAGTCACATTTTTTTCCAGCCAGCCAATGCATCAGTATGTCTTTTAGGCTTACCTCCTTAAGCCATTACTTCATGTAGTTTAGCAGACTGTTCTCTGCCCTGTGGAGGCTGGGCTTGATGTATGCATGAGTATGAAAAGGTACATACATACATCATACAAGACATGAAGACATGAGCAGTGGGCTGTGTTCCCATGGGTGCAGGTGGAGATAGCAACATATCAAGAGCCTCATCGTCGCTTGTGGATGGGTCCCCAGTTCACCTTTCATCCTCTTGATCAAGCCACACCAACAACGTGAGCACTTATATGCTTTCTCTACCAAAGGATCACTAGTATAGGATGGATGTACTTGTCATGTAGAGTTTGTCTATGACAATTACTGGATATTTGAGGCTTGATCCAAAAGTTTTAGAACATGACTTACCATTTTTGTGGGCTGGAGTTACCTTCAAAGTAGTCCCCTTGGGAGTCCACACACCTCTGCACTGGCAGAGGTGTGTAGACTTCAGCTTCTGGAAGCACTTCATAAAGTCCTCTATTGGCATGGCTAGATGTTCATGTGTCTCATTTGTTTGGATTTCTGAATGAGTCTCAAATCTTTGACCTTTCAGATGCATTTTCAGTGTAGGGTATAGGAAAATATCACACAGAGCTAGATCTGGTGTATAAGATAGGTGGTTAAGCTCTGTGATGTTGAAAATGCATCTGATAGGCTGAAGATTTGAGGACACCCAGACTATCCAAACAATTGCAACACATGAACATCTAGCTATTGCAATAGAGGATTTTATGAGGTGCTTCCAGAAGCTGCAGACCACTGGCAGAGGTTTGTGGACTCCCAAGGGGACTACTTTGAAGGTGACCCCAGCAAGTGACTCAAAGACTCCAGCTCACAAAAGTGGTAAGACATGTCCTAAAACTTTTGGGTCAAACCTCCTCGTACATGTCATGCACAGGATGCATGTACAGTACTTGTTGTAGGTAAAGCACATGGTTGTATTTGGCTACTGTCTACATATATCCTGCACATGGAAGTCTCTAATCCATTCTCCTGATAGAGGGAGCAGAGGGTTGATGATGCAACGGCCCATCCACGGTGAAGGAGATGGAGAAAGGAGGAAGTTGGTGGAGATCTATGGGGCTCAGAGGAAAGGAACTCCAAAGGAGGCCTCTGAAAACAAGATTGAGGAAAACCTAGCTGAGGCTATGGAGGATACCTCCCTGCCTGTTATGAGTATGATCCATAAAGTCCAGCTCATATGTCACTCATTTTTATCCATAGTTGCAACATGCAGCATGCTCTTCTTCAGGTGATACAGACAACCCAAGAATGGAGGAGGAACCCCCAAGTCAGGCAAGGTTGAAGGGCAAGAAAGGCAAGAGGTCTGGCCTCAAATGACCACATCCAGTCTTTTTTATTTGCATAATAGTGAACAATCCCTTGGTTCTGTTTCATTCCTGCCCTTGTATTGTGATGCTTGATGAGAGAAGAGAAACAGATTTTATATAAAAGGATGCAGTTGTCAATTGAAAAAGTTCATATAGGACACAAGCTCTTTCTTCTTGTGAAGAAAGATTGGTGATGACCTTCACCATCCCTCATCTTGTTCCGTAATTAAGAACTGTAACCTATTTGTTTCTAGGAGGATTTGTTATATTATGTAGAATGTTTATCTTTTATATTTCAGGTTGTAGGTGAGTTGTGAGTGATTGAAATCATGAGTGACTGAGTGCATGATTTTTGGTCGTGTCATTCCTGTCTCCAATGCTTATGGATCTCAAGCAGGTCAGGGTGTAGCCTCCAATCTTGTGTCTGTTTAGATGTAAGACATACCTCATGATCCTGTATGTCAGTGATGTTTCTTCTTTGCAGTGCTGAGGACTTTTTCAAACATGGGAAAGACAGTCCACTATGCGGTTGGAGTTGGAAGGAACGTTGGCATCTTCTCATCCTGGTTTCTTTCTTTGTCTTTTATTTCTTCTGGTTGCCACAGTGGTTGATGTTCCTTTGACTCTCCTAACCACAATCTTTGATCCTTCTTACATCTTTGAAGGGAGGAGTGTCGAGAGCAGATTCAGGGCTTCCCAGGTGCAAAATTCAAGAAGTTTTCCACTCGCTCAGAGGCACAGCGTTTTGTGGACGCATGCAGGGCAGATCCCTCTCGCTGGCCTGTTGATCCCAACAAGACTCCCAAATCCAAGAATCTCAGAAGCCCACACAGAGATCTTCTCCTTTTGGCTGCACTCCACAATGACATTGACGTGTATGAAGACCTCCAGGCCTCGCCTGAACTAATAAACAAGGCAAAGACGGTGGACAAAGCTTCATTTGAGACAAATCCTGATGGCTCGGTGGTGGTATATACCGATGGAGCATGTTCCAAGAATGGCTACGTGGGAAGCAAGGCTGGCATCGGTGTCTATTTTGGTCCCGATAACCCTCTGTGAGCCTTTTCTTACTGCTTTTTACCTTCTTTTTTTCCATTGTTTCTCTGCCTTTTGCAGGCTTACATTGATTTCAGCTCTGGCCTTATATATTTAAATTGTAAATGTATTGAGTGAACAAACAATTTTGATGGAAAATATTTACATGGAGAGATGGAGCTTCTCTGTTCATTTCCTGCAGGAATGTGTCAGCTCGAGTACAAGGTAGGCAGACAAACAATAATGCTGAGATTCAGGCAGCCTTTCATGCAGTCACACTGGCCAAAGCTGCTGGTAAGTATGTTCTATCATGCTTAATAAAGATGAGATATTGTAAGAGGGATTCCTTTCATATTAGTGAATGGTGATTTTTCTGTTTATGAGCCCTTTTTGCAATGGTGGCTGATTTAAACCAACAGGGTTTGAGGCAGTGGAGATTCGTACAGACTCCCAGTTTATGATCAGCTGCATGACAGACTGGTTGAACAAGTGGCTTGGGAACAACTGGAAGACCGCTCATGGTGAGGAGGTGAAGAACCGTCACGAGCTGACTGCACTTCTTGAGGCATCTCAGGGCATCCGTGTCAACTATGTATGTTGCTGTTTGCTCCTCTTCTAACCCTGTCAACAGAAAGGGCTCTTTCAGACAGGAAAGTAATTGAAATGGGAAGACTATTATCAGTAACTTGTTGAGCAGATAAAATAGGAGGGCATGTGTGCAAATTTCAGTTAGGGATCACAAACAGAAGGTTGGACAAGAAATCTGATCTGATAGCAAGGAAGATGAAACTTGATATTGTGATCAACACAAGGAGTTTCTCATGTTTGTCTTGAAAAGTTCTTCATTTTTCCACTTGGGTTTGGTCATGTCCCCCAACATTCTATCATGATGCACTATGGCAAGAATTATTAGCAAACCTAGACCTGAGACAAATTTCGCCTGTGATTGAAGAATTAATGAATGGTGATGGTGTGATTCCAGACGCACATCCCAGGTCATTCGGGCATTCCCGGGAATGAGGAAGCAGACCGACTCTCTCGAGAGTGCCTGTGATATACTGTATTCCATCCGCCACAATCTGCCTCCCACCTCCAGCTCACAAATGAAAAAAACTGGACACCACCTTCAACAACTTCTATTTATTCCTTCCCATCTTTTGTTTTGCATTTTGTACAAAAGTTAAGCCCATCTGTATAGTAGGATAAGTTTGGGAACTCTTTCATGTGAACTTCAACTGATCTAAACGAAACAATAAAAAAACAAACAAAAAGTGAATGCTGAAAGCTCTAGAGCTTGTTTCAATGCCTGAGGACAGGCAGGAATCCCCTCTTCCCCTTACCCCCTAGTCTAAACCAGAAAGGATGAAATGTGTGAATGAATTGATTCAGAACACCAGAGGGATTGAAGTTCTATATCATTTTGCAACATTAATGTCTTTAATGTGACTGAATTGCATCCATAGATATCAACATTATGGCTCTCATGCATCCCCCCATAATAAATCAAATTTGTAATTGGAAAATGAATATCAAACAGGGGTTACCCTTAGCTTCACAATACAGTTTTGCACCATAAGGTAGGCATTGGCTAATGGTGTGATGGTGACAATAAAGTTATGGTGGGATGTTTGTGGGATTGGGTTATTTTATTTTACATTGTAAGAAGATAGTGGGATTGTTGAAGATTTTGAAAAACGTCTTACATTTAGAATTTATGCTGAAAACATGAATGCATGTCATACAACAGACATGCAATAATAATATATAATAATAATAGTAATAATAGAGCTATTTATGTGAAACCCTCAGTATCTCAAATGCAAACAACTGATGACCAGGGTAGAACACATACTACTTGTATTGAAAAATTCATGAAAGTATGCCAAAGACTTTGATTCAATCAGGAGGCAATTAGTGAAATTTTCCTCGAATTCATGAATTTGAGGAAGACACTATTACACATAAGTACCAACTCATTCATCATTGCTGACATGGTGGAAGTTCCAGTAGGCAAACACAGGACATCTAGGAGCAAATTGAGCTAACTTGCAAGCCAAAAGCAGTATGATATACCCATTGGTCTCCATAATGCACAAGTGAGAGAAGTCAAGACATATTCTAGAGCTTCTGGTTTTGCGTTTTTTTTTCACCCTTGACCATTTCTACATAGTAAACAGCCTCAAATTTTCTTGCGAAATTTCTGCAGAGTTTTATAAAGGGTGAACTTCTTGTACAAGTTATAGGCCTTGCAGATCAAGTATGGTTTGAAGCACTAATTAGAGGCAACTGAGTGTGAGGCAAGCTAGATTCAAGTTGTTGAATGGAGAAACATGAGGACTATGAGACTTACAATCACATCTAAGTGGTTATCAACAATATCAGCAAGTAGTGAGGAACGAATAGAGATCAGGAAAAATCATATATTATACTCATCCTCTGAGATAACATCACCTTCATATCAGTAAGAGAAATGACAGCATCAGATCTCCTGGTCATTTACAAAGGTTGGAAGGATATGTAGACAAGCATCAAAGCAAACTGGATAAATTTAACTGTCCTCAAAGAGGACAAGAAGAAAGTGTGAGAGCATGCTCTCCAGGTCAACTACAGAATGAATTAAGGACCTTCCTGGAAAAGAGGCCCAAATTCACTTTCACTTGTGCACTTCAGAACAAAGCAAGGGTATTGTATGGCAGAAGGACACATGCAAAAACTTCTATTAAACCCTTAACTGGGTTAGACTTCTTTTGACATCAGACCTCCCATAGGTTAAGATGTATTCAGTGAAAAACTTGACATTAAAGGGTTAAAGCAGCAGTCTCCTTTTACTCATTGAATCTTCAAGTGTCTGTAATCCCCAATTTGGGAAGAAGACCACTGTCAATAATAAAAATCTTTTCAGTTTCCAACAAGATGGATCTTAGCTGGCCTTGGGCCTGAGAAATCTTGACAAGTAGAAGAGCCTAATGGAGCTTAGTGTCCTACAGAATGTGAGCTGATAAAAATTAATTATTTTTCTATGCTCAATTGGTAGAACAGCCAGGAGTGGGAAAAGGGCACAAGTGGTACTGTGGGATGAATTTGTGTAAATCACACAAGACTGTATCTTGAGAAGTTTCCCTAAATGAATAATATAAGCTCATCTTTCCCTTAAGCAATAACTCCCATTATCTCAGAATCGACATCTTGCATTTGTATCCTTTTCCCAAGGACTGCCTCAATTACCTTTGCAAGTAACTGGATGAAGTTCAGAGTGCTCTATTTAGTAAATACACAACACCACGTGCTTCATATAGCTGCCACAGCAGGACAAAAAGTAAGTGCCATCTGGTCTCCTCAGATGCAAATTGAAAGGATATAACCACCAGTAGAGCAATCGTCCCCACAATCTCTCACCATATGAAGGGAAAAAATGTTGTGAAAATGTAACTATATTATTTGTGGTGATGGGCCTTCTGAATTCAGGAATCATAGCTTGATGCACTTTGTGCATCTGAGAGAAAAATGGCACAGGAGTTCACTTTTTCCACAATGACACTGCTGCAAAGGAGTTGTGTATGGTGTTGGAGAGCAAGCAGTCAGTGCAAGTAAAGAACAAGGTAATCAGCATCTTTAAAAATTGTGTTTCATGTCTTCATGTCATGCTTTGAAAATAACTATTTCAAAGCAATGCCAAGTTGGGGAAAGGTTCAGCCAGTATGATAGGAATTTCAGATACATTGTCTTTTGTCTCATGTTGTTTATTTCAAGAACTTCCATGAAGTCATTGTGTTTCATGTTGAGAAACAAACTTTCCTATAAGTAAAACTTTTCAGCTTATTCAGGGTGTTTTGATTGACACGACACCTGGAACCCTCCCCCATATGTGTCAATGTATGCTCTGTTAGCCTTATTAATTTACATATTATTACTCCTATTCAAATCAATACATAAACCCCAATGAATCTAGTTTTATATGTAGTAAATGTTTGTGGAATATATTTCACAGACCAGTGATGCTGTATTGCTTAAGAGGAAAGGTTGTGCTCATGGCACGTCCCAAACTAATTCTTTTGACTTTCATGTGGCTTGTAAAAATGAATCAATTCTGATGAGTTTCACATAATACATTCTAACAAACTTCACACTATAAACTAGAAAATTAAAGTTTGTTTAACAGTCAACCTTGGAAGAAATGCAATGCTTCACATAAAGGTCCCACATGTGACACATGGAACTATTTTAGGGTAAAATAGCATGATGATGCTTGGCCATTAGTTCTTCCATATTATTAAATCAGTAGACCTAGAGCATATACTCTATGGAGAGTGATGCAAGAAATGGGGTTCATACAACACAAAAAATCCAACTAACAAATGAGTGTAACCCATGAAATTAATGATGGACTGATTCTTGCTATTGGCCTATTTTTTCATATAATAGTTATCAGTTGATATTTCCTATATCAGCTGACAATGAAGGTCATCAAACTTTAATTTGTGTGATGTTCAATTTGTGACATTGACATTCAGTGCTTTCTTTGGCTTGGCTATCAGTCTTGGTGCATACCAGCAGAAGGGTAAGTCATTAATGCATTCCAAACCCTATATTTAGCTGAAATCTTAATTCAATATGACAACTTGCTACTTCTGAAGTAGGTTCTCCCTCCATGGAGTACATCTTGAATCATAAAACTATATTTATATCATCCATTGGCCAATACTTACCGATCTGATGGTTGGTCAATTATTAGCCCTAGTGTGATATACAGTATAAATTATTAGCCAATTTTTGTGTCAGGCCACTACTAAACAGAAACAAAATTGTCAAGAAAACAGTCCAAGAGATTTGGGGGAAAACTGTCAATAAAAATTATATTAAGTGACAGTCTCATCCTTGAAGTGTCAAGACCTTAAAATGGACTTGCCCATTAATGACAATACTCTATGTGTACTCTGACTCCACCTGGATCCTACTTGCATTCCTTGATACTCAATACTGATATGGGGAACCTCCTACCTTGCACAATGGGGACTAAGGGAAACCATACCATTAATACTATTTCCAACCAAGCTACATGATACTCAACCTGCAAAAGCTTTCAATAAAAAATAATTTCTCTTCAATTGATCTTGAAATATGAAGGAAAGCAAGCCAAATTCCTCCTGATTACATGATGAGAAAATAGGTGAGTTGACTGCACATGCTCGCAGTCCACATTCTGTGCATTTTACCAGGATATGCATTCAACAGTTTGGCTTTGGTTGATAATTGCACAAGTACTATCATTAATTATTTACAACAATTCACCCAAGAAATATAAAAGGATCAAAGCTACACATAAGTCAGAGGCAGTCACCCTTATGGAAGGGTGGAGGGATTGCCAGGAGAGATGAGATCAAGATCCACAGCTTCTCGTTCTAGTTCAGTCAGTTGAGATCGTAAGCGATTGGCCAGAGAGCGCAGTTCCATTTGCCGTTCCTTCAGTTTTCCTATCCCCTTCCACTTCTCCATTTCTGGGCTCATGTCCACCACCCACCGTAGGTACAGCCCTTGCCAAAGCGTCTGCAGAACATTATAATGATTTCAAGTCCACTAATCACATTTCATTCAATAAAATTGGTCTGAAAGATGAGTTAATCAAGCATTATAGTTGACCTGACTAATGATGGACTTTTAACACATGAATGGCAGGACAATACCAAGGCGTGCAAGTCAGACCCTCTGGTTGTATATTAGCAAGTTGTGAATATTCACTACACAACTGCAATGCAATTTAGAAAGGTAAGGAGGGACATACAGTCGAACTCAGTTATAACGACGAAAGCACCAGGTCCCGGTGTAGAGCCCATAAGGCACATTACATTTTATCTTGGTTATAACAAAGTCCATTGAAGGTCTCACAGACAAAATCAACGTTTATATCCCTAATCCGTCATTCTTAACTGAAATTTCCGTCATCAGAAAAATTAATATTGGCGAGCCATAACTTCATATTTCCAGGATTCAGCATTCCTAGAGAGTCATGTGGGTGTGGCTGGAGCAATGTTAGGGAGGGATAATCCCTAGTAACAAAGATCACCTTATCTTCAGTCGCCATTTGCATTTCTTGTTGACAACATGGCCAATGGAAAACGAAAGAGGCAAGCCTTCACAATTGAAAGGAAAGTGTGCTCGATTTGTTTAATAGAAATAGCTCAAAGTGAAGCTAATGTCGCATGCGAACACGGACATCCGTTCGTCTGTTTCCACGATTTGGGAAAATCGTGAAGGCTTCGTCCATGCTCGCGAGAACGTGTTGCAAAACGAGAAACTTCCTCGGTCCGTCGAGACGACATCGATGAAGCCTTGCAAAAATTTGAAGCAGTTCAAGGTCCAAAGAAGTGCGAACGTCACGATCGGTGGGTCGATCTCGAAACCGAAGCTAGTGTAGTGTGACCGATGTAAACTGGAGTCGTAACGTCATATGGCATCGATTTTGGAAATAGGAAAATGGAGTGCCAATAAAGGCAACCTCGGTCACGACGAACCTCAGTCATAACGACGGTTTTTACCTGGTCCCTTCGATGACGTTATGACCGAGTTTGACTGTATTCTATTCTAATTTCCCTCTTTTTACATGTCAAAGGCATGCATGTATTTCTCCTCCCAAAAATTTCACATATCATGACTGCTGGTTTTGAAAAATGCCTGCTGTTTAAGCATTAAGGGAAGTTAGAGTTCTGCCAAAGACACCATTATTATATTTTTTATTACATGAAATGAAGCAAATGCCTCACCAGACTCATTGGGGCAACAGATGGCCAGAGGACTGCACAGTTAGGATCATAGAGTGGGTTGAGGAAGCCTTCAAGGACTTGAGGTCGATTAACATGTGACCAGATACTCATTGTTCTCTCCTTTACCCTCAGTTCCACCAGCTCAGCTTCGTTGTTACACATGAATGTACCTTTAATGGAAAAAGTTTCTTTCATGAATAAATAGAGCACGAAAGAACAAATTTCCCTTTAGTAACGATAGAGGAAACGTGCCAAAGGGTGAGGCATAGGCATGCTCAAAGAGGAAGAGAAGGAAATCCTCATTGAATTCGAAGCTGCAGGGATGTTGGGAATGAATCTGCCAAATACAATCAAGGAAGAGAAGGAAGAAGGGAGCATTCCCTCGTGAACGCAATGTTGAGGGGGCATAGCAGCTATGAGAATGACGCATTCGGAATGGATGTCCACCCAAAATCCATTCACGCTCCACAAGTGCCTCCAGCCTACAATGAATGTTTGAAAATAAAGGATTAAATGCTAAGTGCTATCTTGGGTCCATTATGAAGATACTGGAAATGAGAATTTGGACACACCCTCGAATAGTTCTGCAGTCAGGATCCAAGAGGAGCTGGGTCAATGAGGTTACCTGAAGAGTTGTGTCTAGACCTTCAGTGCCATGCACCACCACTGATGCCCCTTCCTAAAAGAACTTGTATGAATCAATACCTCACTCAAGATCTACTTACTACTGGATCTATGCTGAAGAAGAGAGTAGTCACCTGATCAAGGCATTGTGCAACAACACAGGCTGTATTGAGTACCTCTCGGATCTGAGACAGCCATACTGAACTCTCAAATCTTGATAGCCATTTATCCATGCTAGAACCAGTGTCATTACAAGCTGCAATGTCGATGATGACAAGATACAAGTATAAACAATGATTTATGCTCATTTGTAAAATGAAACATGGATTTCCATACTTCACTCACCATCCATGAGTTTGACAAGGGAATCAAGAAGGGAAGATATCCGATCAAGGGGTTTATGAATTCTCTTCCACTGTGGATAGTATGTTTCCATCTCATAGCCTCCACCTTTCCCCTGTGAATAAATTTTTTTCCCTCTGTGTATGTTAGCTGTGGTTTGGGATGAATTAATTATGAAATTATTATTGTTCAGGCCTAAAAAGAAGATAAGGACAAACATACTCGTGCAGCCTGGGCACTTGCTTGAGATCTCGTGTCCACAACATATCCTCTGAGTGTCTGCGTAATGACAGCATTCAAGAGGCGCTCATCCTCTTTGCATCTCCGCCCACTGGGACCTACCAATGGCTGGCTGCAGCGAAGCAGGCAAGCCTAAAGGAAAACTTCTCATCCCAGTCATTCTGTCATGAAATCCATGAAAATTTTTATTCCCTTTCACTCACTCCATTGGAATGCCTATAGCTGAGGACAGGGAATCGGCCACCTTGACGGAATGCCGCAGATGCAATCAAGGCCTCATCTTCTATCGCACGTGGAACAACGACCATACTTGAATATGATGGACACACCTGTCATTAATCATCTCCATAATTTAAGCCATTAATGGCCTATAAAGGGATATAAAAAATATCAATCTGACTTGAAAGTCCCTGTTGACAGCTGAAATTCGCCAGTCATCTGAGTGTCGAGTGAGTTTGGGGAACTCAGAATCTAAAAGAAAAGCCATCCATCCGTCTTCTAAGATGGCATGCATTGCACGATAGAAGAATGGATAATGAAGTCTTGTGTCCTCTGTGAAAAAAAAATTAAAAACTTTATGTTGTGTAAAACAAATAATTAAGATTTTTCTTGGTCTTGAAGATTGGCACTCTCACCAATGTTGGAGAGGATGTCGATTGTATTCCCAATACTACCGAACTCCTCCAATCCAGGAATTTCCAGGGAAATGACACGTAAATCCTTGCAACGGAGGACCAGAGTTCCTCCATTTGGTCCTGGACGTTTCTCCACAGCATCCACACAGCGATGCAATAACTTTCAGTGAAAAAAGATGTACAAAAAGTATATGCAAACATGATAGCTGGTGATGACATCTGGAAATCTCAAAATATCTTTGTATTGGCTTTAAGTATTAATGCACAAAGGTTCCCACAAAAACTGTCAAAAGAAAAGACATGAGGTGATATCTTACCCAGAGTTCCTCTTCAGTTTCCTTCCTTGATGAGAAGATCAGATGATGCCCTGTTATGCAGAGGGTTCCATCAATGGGACCTGAAGATAACGGGCGATGGAGCAACACGCTATCTAGCTTTGGAATCCGAATTACATCTGCAAATTCCATTATCTGGAGTGGGGAAGAGAAGCACTCTCAAGAAGTTCCTTGATGCAGATGAGGCTCTATGTGTCAATACACTCTGTTAGCACTAATCACTGCCACATTTAGCTCTACTAGATTTAGAGGTCCTCTCCTCAGAGTTTTATCTCATATCTGCAGAAGCAAGGCTACTGGGAAAAGCAGCCTGAGTCAGATAGCTCTGATACGAGTAATTGGTCATCATTCATTATGTAAAAACAACATTAATGTCATGAAAAGCATTTACACTTGTCTCCTAAAAAAACAGACAATGCATTTTGAAAAAATTTTCAATAAGGAACGTTAAAAATGATCTCCATGGATATCCTCTTTTCCTTTGTCTCTGCCCTTTGCATAACCAATCCTCATAAATAGCTTAATGCATTGAATCACAACCCAAGGATGGAAAATAGGGAAGAGGTGGAGGAAGAATGTGTACAGATACAGAACTTGCACAGTGTCACCACAGACTTCACCATCATCAGAGCTGCAGAAAACCATGAAGAGGAAGAAGCAGTTTGTAGACCTAGTTGGGCTTCTCCCTGTCAGGTATCTCTTCCAGCATCTGTATCACTTTTGAGACAAATGCAGTCTACCTATCCAAGCTAAGATAAACAGCTATTGACATTAACTTTTCCTACATTAGGTAATGGAGGAACAGGGACCCACACTCCTGAAAATGCCTTGCCCCTCTCAAGGCAGATTGCAGAAATGGAGAGGGGAATCAGTTTGCAAACATGCACCTAGGGCAACGTTTATGCACAATCTCAATAATGAATGCAAATTTCAGCATCTCTTTTACCCCAATATGCTGAAAGAGCTCAAAGAACTCAAGGACTTTGCCCAACAAGGGAATGACCATCAGGAACTTCATGAGATGAAACAAGACTGGGATAGGCAAAAAGCCCAGAAAAGGACATCATCAGGAAAGGACATTTCCCTGCTGAATCGATACAGCTTGGGAGGTGAAGGCACAGGAGTCTCCCAGTCTTCATTGACTTTTCACAAGAAACTGGGCATAAAGACACCAACAGAGATCCTTAATGAAGCACTGGTTGCAAGTCCAGATGATGCAATTGAGAAAATGGAATTCATTCTCTCAACAAGCTATCCCTTGGTCACCATCTTGATCATCCTGCTAAATATAGCCACTGTCTTGGGTATCATAGGTTTCAAGCACAAAGACACCATTGCCACATGCTTGGACTTCACATATATGTCAGACAGATTCAAACTTTCAACTATACTTGGAGCTCCACTGGGCTTTTATGACAATTATCACCTGATGGTGACTAATGCCATGTTCTTCATGGATGGAGTCATGATGGAAAATGCCTTTGGGTCCAAAGTATTCCTTGAGATCATCTTCCTGGCCAACCTACTTATATCCCTTATCTACCAACCTCTTTCAATGCTTGTGTTTGAAACATCCAAGACTCCCTTCTTCTCAAGGAAAAAGGGTTGCAATGTTGGACTAACTGCAACCTTACTGGGTCTGATGGTGATTTTGGGAAGGAAGTGCCTTTGCAACCGCTGTGCATTGATTCTATGGGCTATACATTTAGCACTTATAGGTCATCTTTTCATCAAGTATGAAGATTTATCAGCAACATACCACCTGGCTGGATTCATCACTGGCTTCTTTGCTGTACAACTCCTGGAATATGGAATCACCTCCATTGCCAATGTTAAAGACAAGATCATCAACTGCTTCCATAAACAGGAGTGTAAGTCATATTGGACTCCAGAAAACAAACTAAACAAGTTCAAGCATTTATTGACAATATAATGATCATGCTTTTACAAAACATTGTTGCATTGCAGGTGATCCTCAAGCATCAAAGATAAAGAGCTCACCCCTATGTGTGACCTGCAGCTCTCCCCGTGAAAATGCAACAAAAACATGGACTCCTGCAGTCATCATAAACCCAGTGGGATCTCAGAATCCTACCTCAGAAACCCAAACCACTAAAGCAATCACCTGACATCATGAATACTATTCCTTGATCTCAAAAACCTTGCCCATCTAAACAATCTTCATCTCACAGCATCATAAACCCTAGCACAGATTATTACAAATGTAGCAGAGTAAATTGCTTTTCCATATTTTAGTCACTTTCAAACTATTTTTATTTATAGCTTAATCAAAGGAATTGTCCTACTTTATTTCCCAAAGTGACTACCAGCTCCAACACACTTCTGAAGCCTGTGAATGATTCTTGATTAAAGCCAACTTCAGGTTCATGGGGGCAGGAATATGAAGTATCAATGATATTCACTATTTGATGGAATTTGCAGCAGGTTCTGGTGAAAAGGGCTGAGAGACTCCCTAGACACCATCACTTCTAATTAGGAATTTACAAAAAAACTAATGACTATCCTTCGAACTAAATGCATACCTCAACTTCAGGATTTTCTCCTCCATAGAATTATTCTTAAGACAGCAGCAAAATTGATGCTGGCAGAGAGCACATTAAATCATTGAATGTAACACACTACAAGAAATGAACTTTGGGAACACTAATAGCACAGAAACTTGAAGCACCTAAACACTTGTGGGAATACCCCCCATGCTATTGATGGCATACAGTTTGAATATTCTTGCTCTCCAATACATAATAACAGCTGAACAGCTAGAAGCATGACATTTTTGTGTTGATTGTGTTGATTGCCATGGGATTGTCATCATCTCAGTGTTCACAAGAAAAAAGTTTCACCTTCATTGAACAACAATATAGAATGGATACAGAAACCAGAACTCTTGTCCCCAGGAAGTTAAGGGATGAACAAGGCACTGGTATGACTCTCCAAAGTGGTATGAAGCTGAACCTAGGATCACCAATGTTCATCATTAAGCAATCATGGTCAACAATATCTAGAGGGGAATCTCTTTTCCAGCAAACTTCTGCATAGCTCACATGGGGTGGTTGAAAAGTTTGTAGTCCAAGGCACTTCCAGTTGCAATACATCATTCTTACTTTTCTTATGAGAAGACTGATGTCTTTGATAGTGACTAGCAAATTTATCTCATTTGTCAATTATAAAGGGTGAGGCAAAAAACAATGCTATCATTTTTGGTAAGTTGTCAATCTGATTGTAGGTTGCCAATTCTGGTTAAATTTGGTAGATACCTAGGGTGACTCAATTAGGGTTTGTGTGCCAAGTTTCAAATAATTCCAAAAACTGTGAGATTGGCATTCAATTTACTTTTCATCATAAAAAAGTAAGCATTCATTTTTTCTTTCAACTTAAAATGTTTCACAACTGACAAAACAAACAAACAGAATAAAAACAAATGCATGAAAGCACCCAATTTGGTTTAGGGACATTCATTTCAACTGAAAAGGTGCTCAATGTGCCCTCCATTCTGTTGAACACAAGCCTCTAGTCTGGGACACCAGAGATCAATGGTGAGGTCAATAAACCTTAGAGGCAGTGCCTCCCAATCTTCCTTTGTAGTATCATGCAGGGATGGAATGTCATGAATTCAGTCTTCCATTTCATCCCAGCCTCAAGTTCATGTTGATATTTTCGACAGCACATTTTGTCATTGGTCATCAGAAAATAATTATAGTTCCTATCATTTTAGAGCCAGAAGGCTGAAATTTGGAAAACAAACTCAAATTGTGTCACCCTATAAGCCTACCAAATTTAATCAGAATCGGCTGCCTACAAAGAAAATCATGACTCACCAAAAATGACAGCTTTGTTTTTTTTTTTTGGCCCACCCTGTATATAGCTTCTATGAATTTTTCTCCACATGCTACCAAAGGGTCTGCTGAAAGGGTCTTAAAATTGAGAAGAATGCTGTGATGAAGGAGTCGATCTTTCAGGAGATCTCTCAATGTTGAGAGGATGGAGTCCTTGTGATCCTTCTCTGAAAGATCAGCTAGAAAATAGACTCCTTAGAGATGAGAAAATTCATCACAGCATTTGTCTCAATTTTAACACCCTTTCAGCAGACCTTTTGGTAGCACATGGAAAAAAATTCATTGAAGATATATATTCAATGAATGAGATTAAAATTTGCCAGTCACCATCAAAGACATCAGTTTTCTCATAAGAAAAGTAAGAATGGTATATTGCAACTGGAAGTGCCTCTGGCTATAAAATTTTCAATCACCCCTCATAGAAGACCTGGATTCCAATCCCCCTCAAAAAATATTATGTTCTGTTTCACTATAGACCCTTGTCCTATTGCAGAGTTTGATGGATCCATCAGGTTTGGCTCTTACAGGGAGAGCTGTCACTTTCAACTTTCCTCAAGTTCCCAGTTGTGAAGGATGACATCTATTTTTTTAATTGCTACATTTCAGATATATTATTTGAGCAGGCTCATCTCCCATCCTTTGCAAAACAATGGAGTTTTGTGAGGTGTTAACAGCTCTGTGAAAGAAAATAGTAAGCACAAAGGAGGGAATGAGAGACAAGAGGAAATCATGACTGCATCAAAAGCAAAAGAAATCATGAAATCTTTGGATAGCAGCAGAGAACAGTTGTGGAGCTCAGGTTCTCATCTTGGCCATGATATAATCACACCCCTTCAGCAGTAAATGAAATGGGCTATTTCACTATTCAAACCAATACAATTGCTTGACTTGAATGAAGGGGAATGCTGTGAGTTTGAAAATAATATTTATTTGACTGTCAGCTATCACTGCTTCTACATACTGCTTTTGATTTATAGAGGACATTTTTCTATCACATGGAATCATGCAGGATCACATAGTATAAGAAATACATAGATTGAAGTTTTGCAATTAGGCAATGAAGGCAGGTAAATGTGAAGGGAATGCAGACCTGGAATGTTGTCTTTCATTTGGTAACTTGCTATCCCAGGCCATAATCCTCAAAGAATCCTTGAGGAGTCTCAGCCTAAGAAAAGATGACATTTCTACTTATAAAATGGCCACATCTGAGGAACAAGGAAACATGCACTAAAAGGCCCATCTTACCACTTGGGATGGCATGAATTATATGTCAGCTCACCTGCTGGAGCTCATCCTGAGCTTCAATAGACCTGATGATGCCTATCTTACTAGTCTCCTGGATCTCTCCACCCATAATTAGCTCATCCAAGATGAAGTAGGCCTTCTCAAAGTTGAATATAATGTCCAACTCACAAACCTAGAATGTAGAGTTCAAAAACCTTCAACAGTGGCAATATCATGCTTTCCTGGACCTACAACAGCTGACACATAGATGGAATGTGCTACCAGGGGAAACCTTCTTTGAAGGCTTTTCCATAGCTGCATTTCTATGTAGCTTTACTTCCTGAGGCTGTCAGCTTTGAGTGCACTCTTATTACATAGGCATGATATGCAGGAACTTAATCTATTAATAGCCATTTTTCTGCATTGAGTGCCACTGGAAGATAAACAAAAATGCAATTGTTACAATAATCCAATGGTGATGCACTAGGCAACTTACAGATTCAAAGTATCTGTCCAAGAGTTCCACATATCTATGGATGACCTCCAAATACATGAGCTCATTCTCATCTGGGTCAATGGCACAACAAAAATGCAAGCTTGCATACCTGCAAGTAAAATTAAAGAATTTAAATAATGACTTCAAACTCCAATATACTAACCATAAAGGCTTTGAAATTCCATCAACATGATGATTCAAAGAATAATATTCCATTTTTCAAGAAAGCTTTATCTTGATTGTTCAATATGTTCAATAGTAGGAGTTTAATATCATGATAAGGAATGATAACCATTTTCTTCAATTATATATCTTGAAGCCTGAAGAATGCTATAGGTTAGCGTGTGCATGCTCCCAAGTGCCTAATGAAGGTGGGGGCATCATCTCTCATCCTCACCTCTTCTCCCACAATGTAGGTTCCCTTTGTGATCTCAGCTATTGAAATGTTGAGTAAGAAGTCTAAGAGTGTACACTCATAGCCATGTCTATAATTAGTTGAGAGGGATGCTAGGGCATGAAATGCAACAGAATCCCTGGAGAGGCACTCATATCCATAATTTAGGCAAGCAGTATTCAAAGCACAGTCCAATTTCCATTTTCATTTGACACAGGGGCTTGTAACAAGTAAAACTTAAAATCATCTTACGTGCTCACCTTTTGTATACAATTTTGAGATCCTTCCACTCAATAAAAGAGCACATCTTGGATTGTCGGGTAAGGATGATTGTTGTCAGCTCCCTCATGATTTTCTTCTTGACTTTGTCAAGAACTGCAACATACCATTTCTGGAGTCTGATCTTCCCCTGCCGACTGAACAATAGCATGAAGTGCATCTGAAAAGGCAGACAAATCACTCAAAATGAATTAATAACCCAATACAAAAGTCTACTATATATGTAAAGGCAAGGTTCAAAATGGAGACAAGATGAAATGATGGCACCTTGCAAAGACTGAAACCTGCATTCAAGTTAATTATGCAAAGTTTATTGGTTGCTCTGCAGTTTCTGATTTAGGTAAAAAAAGAATAATAGGGGGGTGGTTGGCTCTAGCAAAGAATCAGTTGTAATAGAATGCCATCCAACCTCCATTTGAGCACTGTGGTCTACAAATAGTATGGTTCGTTAGACCCTTCTTTTCCATATTCGTCTGAATTTTTATCTATTTACTTTCATCAAGAAAGATCTTGTTGGCCACCCAAGATTTTTTTCATTTTTTTCCCAAAGGGATTTCCATCCACAAAATCACTAAAAACATTGTCTATTAGCCTAAGTTCACCCACACAAGTTCAAACATGCTATCCTTTAAGCACAAATTTTGTGATCCATATCCATAAAGATAACACACAAAGACACTAATGCAGGCATCAAATGAACAATATAGAATGTGCAAGTGTCCAATAACATATAAATAAGAGATAGTTGGCTGTAGATATGCTTATAAGCTCATATTCAGCAAGTTGCTGAACATGATATTCCACTAGTTTATCATTACCCTTAGGCCTATATAGCAATCTCCCATGAACTTTAAAGGAACTGCAAAAGCAATTCCTTGAATGAAAAAAAATTATTCACCTGTCTGAGGCTTGAGTTCCAATGCTGTAATCCTTGCCATAACAAGGATTGCTACCCATACTTTGTTTTAGCTGCTATAATGTAAAAATTTCCCCCTATAGTGCTTTCCTTGTGGTAGTGTTTTTCTTAGTATGCCGAAACATCAATGTCCTGGTTCTCTAAATAGATTTGTCAAATTTGATAGCATTAAATTACTTAACCCTTTCAAGGCTGAATTAAGAAAATGAATAACTAGGGCATTTTCCCACTGCTTTTTCTATTGAACTGCCCTAGCTAAAGACAGAGCTCGCAGAAAATTTCAAATATTTACTCATATATTCAAAATGTGAATTTTTAATTACAAGAATCATCAACCGAAAATATTGAATAACAGGCCAATGTTCACACATGGGGAGCCCCTAAAACTTGGCCTTTGTCCCAATTATATCTGTTCATTTGTGCAGCATGCAGGCATATTTTTTCCTTTTCAAAAAAAAAAAAGAAAAACAAATTCTTTCATTTTCGGTCAAAATTCCATTTCACAAAAAATAAAAAATATCAGGTCACAACTTTTCTTTTTGATCCCGCTTGCCTGAATTACAACCTATTTGAATGAATGATATGTGACCAAAGAGCCCTTTTTGAGAGCTATTAAGCTGTACCAAATAAAACAAGTTTTGTTCAATGGGAACCACAAGAGCAGTCTCAAAAGATATGATCCTTATAATGATCATATGCCATGAAAGGGTTAATGATAAGACTTTCCAAAACTTGAAGAGTGATTCAATGGGCTATACTTGCCCTGCAAAATGAACTAGTTAAATACTTTGCTGCAGCAGTTTTAACTTGTTAACCCTTTCAGTCCTGAATTTAAAAATATTAATGATGTAAAAACTAATTTTTCTTATATAAATATTCATAATGAAATTTAAATTAACCACAAAAATACAAAATTCCCAAAGAGGTCAAAAGGACTTGGAAGTCTCACTAGGCCACAAGGCTGGGTACTCCCATATAGTCCTGCCAAATATACAAAAAAATGTGGGGCTCCTGAGTCCCACCAGGACTGAAAGGGTTAAAGTGTGATTCACCAGCCATTCTCCAGGCTGAGAAAATAAGTCATGTTTGATTGAGTGAAAGCAAAATATACTGCTCTTAATAGGAACCATGGAAGGAATGTTCTAATTCCATACAAGATTCCGTTCATCAGAGCAATCCTGCAACACATTAACTTCATGTATTCATTCCATTTTAGGCTATGACCTGCTGTCACATCCAGGATTCATCCCTTTTCCCTCTTGCCTTTATCTCCTTAAGTTATAAACTAGCCTGTTTCCTGATGCAAAAAAGATGCAAATGATCTTTGTAAAGATGTGCATATCAACAAGATTGGACAGTGGCCAGACGCATCACTTTCAATTTGACCAGGAGATAGTATCTATATAACAAGAAACATCAATGGTTCCTTTTTTAAATGCACCATCATTCCAGGTTAATACTTTTCAAGCAAAATCTCTTCTAGTCTGAATTAATCTTTCTGAATGTCTACTTTACAATCTCTAATCAAGTGATAGTATTCATCAGCATTCCCATCTAATACACTGTTTCCGGATTGAATTCGTACCCCCCCCTACTGTGGAGAACAGGGAAAACACAAGGTTTCTAGATGATCTGCTAGATGTCAAGCCTATTGCTCTGCACGGTTGTCAGATCGTTGGTGATAATTTTGCTTTTGGGATGACCACAAAGAAGAAAATATGCTTTTATTCTCTGGCAATAAAATGAGGTTAATAACAAGAACAACCTTGAAAGGAAATTCTCCAGCCCTCGAATGCTCTTGGAAAATGGTATCCCATCTTTGAACATCACTGCATGTTGTTGCACATCATCTGCACAAGAACAGCTGAAGCTTGCAGGCCCCTCAGCAGGAAGAGACTTTGTGAATGTCTCTTCTTGCAGCAATTATCATAGCATTTCAGATTATTTACGGATAATTGTCATCCAAAACATTGGGATGGCCACATGCAGCAAATGCCTCTTTGTGGCCTGTTTTCAGCCCTTATCAGCAGAGAAAGACCCAACACCAATGCAATTGAATATTTCCATCTCGCAGGGAATGGACCCAGCATTGAAGATAACAGTGCAGATGAGACAAAGATGTTGCCAATTGTGATTGCGAGACTCTGTTTCGCCTATAGTGGTTACGGCTAGCCTCATTATTTCCCATTCTCTGTCTTTTGAAATACCTTACTTTCTTGCCCTCGTTTCACCGTTACTTACTACTATTTCTCGTTATATTGGTTGACTCTTCTCTCTGCCGTCAGAAACCTGGATTTTCATGGCAAAAATGACAATTCAAGAGGAGATGCAATCCTAAGCATGCGACATTCTCAATTACCCATCAGGTCCCAGGCCTAATCCGTAAGGAAGAAATGATCCAAATCACCATACTTGTCACCTATATAGTCACGAGTTTCACCAAATCTGTATCTAAGCAACTGTGCAGGACTCTACTGATCAGGAATTAGACACCCACGGAGGATTCTCCTAATACTTCACCTTCCTTTCAAAAGATGTCCTGCCTGCACTTGATGGAAGTGCACCTAAGGGGGGGGGTACGAATTCCATCTGGGAACAGTGTAACCTGTTGTCAAAGTGAAAGATGTCTCCTAGAGATTTTAAATGAATCCACATTTTTACTAAAGGTCAATAAATAGCTCTAACTTCAATAAATAACTCTAAGCCTTCATCTTAGAACTTAGAATGATCATTCAAACAATCTGCTCCCATTCTGATCTCATTTGCAATTTCCATACACCTCATCTTCTTTAATCCATACAAGTATACCACCTCCTGCCTTATCTGCCTGACATACACATTCAGATTCATCATTTCCAATAAAACAAAGGTATTTCAAGTGAGGAAATAATTAACAGAAAACCATTTGGATCTATCTATCAGAGAGAATTGAATCTAAATTTCACATTGAATCCCTCATATCAACATCATTTTCAAAATTCAAGGAGGATTCTCTTGAGGTCATTCTCAGGCTAAGGGTCTTGAGTTCACAAAACGAACTGCCAATTGTGTTGGTGTCTGGCTGGTTCATACAGATGGGACATTACTTTTTCAATTAGAATCTCCTTGATATAAATGTTAGTATTGATGTTTTCACCATGATTCCATACCATATTCAAGCCTTTCACCTTGGGTCCTCAGGTACTTGCTTCCAGAAGGCTATCTTCCTTGTTAGTCGTAGGATCACCAACTTGAGCCTTCTTTCTTTATGGTTTCTCAATTTTCTGGCCCATTCTATGTACCCTTCAAGCAGGGATCACCAACCACAAGGTTATTTGTACTTGTCTTCTTGCCTCCAAATCGTCATTCTTCTGGGAAGATCATCAACATTGTAACAGGTTGTGTAAATAGATACTTGGCCTAAGATAGCTGCTTCACAGTTTTCGGACTGAATTCATAACTTCCTTGGGAAGTGGAGAAGAGAAAGGACTACTTCAAGAGGATTCGCTTTATAGGATATGCCACGAAACCTAGCATCTGAAAGACATCGCTTCCTACATTAGATGGATGCACTCCTACAGGGGTTACAAATTCAATCCGAAAAGCGGAGGTATACGCTTGCCTTGCCAAAATTTCGAACTGGATTAAAGTAAACGTATACTAGGTCTAACTCATTAAACCACCAAACATTACGGCGGGTAGTATTCAACATAGATCTAGGCTAAGCCCAACTTGACAGCTTGCTTGAGGGGGTTGCATGGTCATACATGCAGTGTCTAGGCTGGTCTAGGCGCCCGGTACCGGGCGCAGACATTTTCTAACTTGGACGCACGATACCTCGCTGATTGGTCGACTGATGAGGAACGGAACGTCCCATGCACATGTGTCTGAGTCAAATGAAAAATTGTCTAACTCAAGTGAAAAACACTGTAGCAAAAAAGGACACGCCCTATCTCTGGAAGCCATGACGAAGTAAGGTGGAAATAAAGACGCGTATAGTTGGCGTCATTCTCTCATCTTCCCTTTCTGATCCTCGATAATACCTGATGCTCCAAAGAGAGCGCACCAGAATGTTACGAGCGCTAGAACCTGGTGCACAGCATCTACTGTACATGTCATGCGTGGACCATATGGACTTTTCATCATTAATGTAGGAAGTTTGAGTTGCTTGAGACTTGCCCCTCGCCCAGTGGGGATATGCAACTTGTCCCGAATCGCGAAGTTATTTCGGCTTGTCACCGCGTGAAATTTTGAGTTGAAATCCAATTGTGATGGGCTTGAAATATGCCCGAGGGCATGGACTAACTTTAAAAGGGGTCCGAAGCCGCACTGAAAGGGGGATTCCACGCCAGACAGCGACAAGGACAGTTGTGTCGGAGGATCCCAGACAGGGCGTACCTCCAGAAGACTAACGCGCCTTCCAAGACAAGCCTTCCCTTCGTGAGGGGCATATTCGTGCTCCTTCACTACAAATCAAGGACGTGAGACGTGCATTGTTTCCAATCCCTGCTTGAAGGGTACATAGAATGGGCCAGAAAATTGAGAAACCATAAAGAAAGAAGGCTCAAGTTGGTGATCCTACGACTAACAAGGAAGATAGCCTTCTGAAAGCAAGTACCTGAGGCCCCAGGGATTCCCAAAAATAATCTTTAACAAAATGTTACCTATCCAGAGTTTCAGTTGTGCATGAGCTGAAATCCTGCAGTGATCCAACATGTTTCTAAGTTTTTTTTCCTTCGTCGAGCATCATGGTCACGAATGCAGGAGTGATTGTGATAGAGAACCTACTACTCAATAACCATCACTGGGGAGCATAAAAAGGATTGCCCGATGGAGAAAAGGCGATACGAAAAGAGGGCTTGGATCTTCCTAGAATGCAAGAATGCACTGTCCCAAGGGTCAAGGATACCTGTCGCCACTGGGACAGACAGCAACTTTGACGTGGTTCCTCACCCACTCCATCCATTCCTTGGCCCAAGAGGTCTTCATTTGTTTCACCACTACTGCGGTGCCGATGAAGAGCTATGAACACATTTTTTGAGAAACAGCCAACGCACTCTTCATTTTCTCCCAAATCTAAGGATTGAAGAGGTGAAAAAAGCCTTCCAAGTCTCGGAGGACAGTGTTGAGAAATCAAATTATGACAGACAGAGCAGAGAGTTTTCACGACTAGGTCATGAACTTCTTGAAAAAACCCTCACCAAAGAGGTTGATAAACTTTCAAGATCTCAAGCAATATCCTCCCTGTCGTCCCACTGAGATGCATCATTAATGCTCAAATATCTCAAAAATTTAACAGAAGTTAAATCTTCCCTTGTGCAACGACCCAAGTCATTTCTAGCGATAAAATTTATCCCACTTTTCTTAGAGAGCTTATCTTAACGCAGTGTCGACCGCTGAATATGGAACTCCTTATCTATGACCTCAAAACTCCCCCCAGCGCGAACGGCTCCGATGACATGCTATCGTGGCCCATTTCCAGTCTCCCATATCACTCATTTTATTATGTAACCTGGCCGCATTCATAAAGAAGCATTTGAGTCAATGGTTTCCTCTCCCCATACGAACACCAAGAGGTACTGAGATGGTGTGTGGCTGCCCAATGCTCGTAAATCTTTGCGTCTCAACCTCCATATTAAAAATCCCTCCTAATTCCTGCAGTTCTCCCAACTGTCCTAACTCCATACTTCGACATATGGATTCCATCCTTAGCAAGCAGACATTTGATACTCATAGGGTTTGGAATTGCGCTGTCAAACCTCACAATTTTGCCTGAGCTTGGTAAAAGTGACCTCAGACTCTGATCTGGGGGAATTATTGCCAAACCCCGTTGCGATAAGCGAACATTTCCATTCGCTCACGCAGTCGAACGAGAGAAGAACCATCTTCTCCCGGTTGCACTCACCTGTTTATAATAACAAACACGCTCACCCACCTCCCCCTCCCCCTCCCCTCCCACACACACGCATCCAACTGGACAAGACCGAAGGATATCAGCGGACGGCCAGCATACTCAAAAACAGCTACTCCAAAAACAATAGTCCCTCCACAGTCCAAGCTACTAGCCCGATCGGCTAACTTACACAATGCTGCCTGTATCTCACGAGGCCTATAAATTAAATCATGGCGTGATTCGACAATAACAGCGTGAGGTGACTGGACCCGCATAAAGGCAGTCACATTTCATGAAGCTTGATATGCTAGAACGTCGTTTATTTAACACTCATGTATTGTGTACCAGAACAAAGAAATAAAACTTCTTCACTCGTACGGACCCCTGCTTCAGTTATTCTTCGACAAATGTTCAACTCCTTGAATTCGTTCGCTATCCCTTAACGAGAAGTACACGTCGTTTTAGCATCTCTAGCGTCACGGAAACTAACATGCAGTCCATTCATCTCACCGGGCTAGTAATCTGGACTGTGTAGGGAGGCACAGCATTATATTTGACCACATGCAGATCCGAGGAGGGCCTCCGCGTTCACTCAACGCTATAATGCATTTTACTCCTCAAATCTCCTGTCAACAACATCCTTATCAAAGGTACAGATCGGTGGAACTTCGATAGTACGTTGCACGCACACAAAATGTTCCTACGTATCTTTTGTCTGGCATTTGCTTTTATTCCCAGCACTCACTTTCCTAGTTTTTTTTATCTGTTTGTGAAGGCCTAGGATTTTTGAGGCTGAAATTCCTGAGTCGGTCGAGCCAGTCCAGACGTCGTCCTTGAGTCTCAATTGTGTCGTCATGAGGCTTCTTCATGTCTCCGCAGGCAGCCTTGAAGCGTGAACTAAGAAATGATATCTACCCCTTATTTATTTTCGTTATCAAAACTAAGGGTGGACTTTTGAACTGAGCACTCTCCGATGAGGAGCTTTATTTTCAGGAAAAATACTCTATTATCATCGAAGCGATTACTGGACCGTGCATTTTACATAACCCTGTATTATATTTAGACACCAGCTCGTGATTGTAATAGAGTAGGTCCAGAGGTCCTCTTTTCGTCGTTGGCTTATTTTATTCAGTCGAAATGGACGGGCTGCACGGCTTGGATCGTGTACAGTGGTATCGCCTCGCGTTCAACTAGAATCCACGACTTGCCTCCCACGTTTCTCCCGAAAAGAAAGTGGGAGACAAGGTTTTACGTCCACTTTCCCCTTTCTCACGGTGAGATAGTAAATCTGCGTCGCAGTTTGCCCTCCTGGTCTTACATCACTGTGTTTACACGTCGTTCGCAAAAAAGGGAAAAGTGGGAGGCAAGGTCGTGAATTCTGCAGCTTGACAGTGCTCAGGCCCAGCCAGAGGCCCAGAGGCGGATACAGAAAATTTTCATTGGGGGGGGGGG